CCATGTTAGTTAAACCAGACAATTGATATGTATCCCCATCTTATTTAATCCAAAAAATATAAATTAGATACTTAACCTCATGTTAGTTAACTAAAAAATAGAAATTAGATACTTAACCTCATGTTAATTAACTAAAAAATAGAAATTAGATACTTAACCTCATGTTAGTTAATCCAGAAAATAGAAATTAGATACATAACCTCCTGTTAGTTAATCCAGAAAATAGAAAGTAGATGTTGTGCTTATTAGCTTATGCGATCATCTAAGCCTAATTAACTTTGTTGAAAAGCTGGTACGTTATCCATTTGTCTGTAGTCTTCTCTATTAGAACATAGCCATCTCATTACTTGAATGTAACTGGCTTGTTGATAGTTAGGCTTTTACTTTTCTTGTGTGTGATTCAAACCTCAATGTTTTTTCTTTGTTATCGTATTCTTTTTTCGCCTGATGTGCTTTTTTCAGATAGTTTGGTATTACATAGTCTTGTATGTATAATATGTAGAGTAGCTAAAATGTTGAGTCGTCTTAACTTCATCCATACATGTGGACAGCATAATATAATTCCTGAAAGGTTAAATTAGTTAACACCTAACGATTTTAAAACTAACTTAGAAACTTAATAAAACCGCGCTGCAAGATAAGATCAAATATCAACATATGAATAAATACAAGAAAGAGAATAAGAACGACAGAGGCGTATCAACTGCCCCCGCAGACCACCCGGGGAAGGGGGGTACGCTAAACTGGAGCCCATCTCGTCATAATAAATCGGATATGAAGGAGATCTGATGGGAAAATTCGCATGGGGACTTACACAAACTGTTTGTTTGTTTGTTGGAAGTTAAGCACAAAGCCACACGAAGGGCTATCTGTGCTCTGCCCACCAAGGGGTATCGTAACCCGGTTTCTAGCATTGTAATTCCGCAGACATACCGCTGTGCCACTGAGGGGTGGGGGGCAACACATACTGAACAATAGACAATATACACCTCAAGATACGCACAAACTTCATTTTACACAAATACTTGTGTACTAAAGAAATTCATAAATAAATAAACTCATCGGTCCTCAAAACAATAAACCTCCTAATATTACAGGTAAGCATAAATGTATTAATAAAGCGACAAGCGGAATAAATTAAACTAAATATCCACCCTATAGTTACAAGTGTAAGCACACAAGGTCCCGCGGTGGTACAGCGGTAAGTTTACAGGGCTTACAACGCTAAAATCCAGGGTTCGATTCCTCGTGGTTGTCACGGCAGGTAGCTCAATGTGGCTCTGTTCTAAAAGAAACCAAAGACACATTTTACAGCCTTCTAGAAGAAGAAAAGAATGATTCATGTTCAAAATAAAGTCAACAGTAAAAAATGTAAACTCTATCAAAAAAATCTGGTCTGACAGCAATTCTACTAGAAGATAGAGTTAATGGGTAAAGAAGAATGCGTAAGAAAACTCTAGAAGTGAGGCTTAAGAACAAGATTTGTAACGTACAAAAAAACATATCACTATAGCCTTCTGCAACAATGGATACCCGAAACAGTTGATAAAAAAGATAAACGCCGAGAATAAACACAAATACACAAAATCTCTCTTAAAACATACAGGGAATACATAAACAGCGAAAAGTTTGAACAGAAGCCAACACAACAGACACTAAAATAGTGGAGAAGAATACATCTTGTGAATGTACACTCCAGTACGTTAGAGAAACAACCAAAATCAGAATCATTATAGACACACGAGACTTCTTCAGAGAATAAATACGAAATGTTAATGGGTTATAAACGACAGGAGAAAATAAAACATAGAAGCCCTCTGCATCCACCCAAATAAAAGAGCTACTGACTGAGTTACCTGTTAGATTCCTATAAGAAAACCCTTATACGAATCGTTAGCCCATCAGAACTATGTTACACGAACCCCGGAAAATAATCCGGGCAACTACCACCACAGAACTGAACTGTAGAATATTGTAACAATAAGAAATATAACTGTATGTTTTCTTACTTCTCAATTCTAACAAGATTAACAATATTTATAAATTTTGTTTGTTTTAACACAAAGTCACACAATAAGCTATCTTTGCGACGTCTAACGAGGGGAATCAAACTCCGGACTTTAGCGTTATACGTCCGTAAGCTTGCCGCTTATTTACCAAGCGACATTACCTAAAATATAGCTAGATTTTAATATATGTATATATCATTTACATATTTAAAGATTGTGTTATTAATTATATTTTAGTCCTATATAAATAACAATATCGATATGGCCATCACTTCTAAAGGTTGATATATATATATATATATGTATATGTATTTATATACTCAGGACTAGACTTAACGTTGTGGTTAAACACACTTGTCATTAGAGTGGGCATGAGAAGAACTCTGAAAATGACATAATAATCGTTCTGGTAACAATAGATTTGGGTTATTATCAAAATAAAATAAAAAACATCATTTAAAACACATAAATAAACGTTTAATTCAAACATGGTAGTCACTGTAAAGTAAAACATTGAAACTAACCATTCAGAGTTTCTAGAGTGAGCTGTAGTTTCTTGAGTTCCAGGTTATGTTGTAACAATTTCAGATGAGGATTCTTCAATGGTGGAGAGTCTATGTCCATCCATTCATAGTGGACAATGTCCATTGGATAAGAATCTAAAAAAGTAGACATGCCTAACTACAGTCACTACAAAACTAGACATGTCGAACTACAGTCACTACATAACTAGACATGCCCAACTACAGTCACTATATAACTAGACATGTCGAACTACAGTCACTACATAACTAGACATGTCGAACTACAGTCACTACATAACTAGACATGTCGAACTACAGTCACTATATAACTAAACATGTCGAACTACAATCCCTATATAACT